GCCTAATGACTGAGCCACCCAGGCGCCCCATGACCTTGGTGTTCTAAAAAATGCCTGGAATACCTGACAATGTATATCCCATCCTTTTAGACCAATGTTGTCCAACAGAATTTTATGCAATGATGGAAATATTTTGGATCTTCTCTAACACAGTAGCCACTAGCCACCTTGGCTACTGAACACTTGAAATGTGGCTAGTATGAGAGAGAATGGAATGTTTATTTTTATTATTTTTTTAAGATTTTATTTATTTGAGAGAGAGAGAAAGACAGAGAGAGAGCTAGAGAGAGCAGAAGTAGGGTGAAAGGCAGAGGGCAGAAGGGCTGAGCGGGGAAGCCTGATGTGGGGCTCGGTCCCCAGCCGAAGGCAGACGCTTAACTGACTGAGCCACCCAGGCGCCCCTTATTTAATTTCAATTAACATTTAAACAGCCACATGCAGCTAGTGGCTATCATATCAGCACAGTTTTAGACAATTCAAGAGACCCTTAGAAATGTACTAAAAGGGCTCAGTCGGTTAAGCGTCTGCCTTTGGCTCAGGTCGTGATCCCGGGGTCCTGGGATCGAGCCCCACGTTGGGCTCCTTGCTCAGCAGGGAGTCTGCTTCTCCCTCTACCCTTCCCCCCTGCTCACGTGCTCTCTCTAATAAATAAATAAAATCTTAAAAATAAAAAAAGAAATGTACTATAATATTAACCTTAGAAGAAGAGTTACCTTAAGAGACCATTCAAATGGATGTAGTTATGAAACAATGCCACAATTAACTGAGCTGGCGAAGAATGACTAAGTAGATGGTTCAAACAATTAGGAGCCAATAAAGCCCATCTCCAGTTGTTTTTCCCTTTAAGTCAGTGACTAAACAGTCACTCTTCTTTAATTCCCTCAATATTTTTAAAACATTCCAATTAGTTAAACATCATTTCTGCTTCCTGAAAAAATACAGTACAAGTCAAGTTAGAATTCGGAATATTCTTTCAAGTTGGTAACCCAGAGGAAATAAAAAAATTAGGGGTCATAAAGAAATAAGTGAGTTTTGCAGACACAAGATAGTCACCCAATTTTTTTAAATGAAAATTCAAAAACTAATATTTAACCATGTATTTCAATTCCAGGTCATAGTCAATTGAAAATCAAAAGGAAAAAAGATGCCCAGAAAAACATGACCAAAGAAAAAAGGTACATGAGATAAAACAAAAATGAGACAGTACAGACACATATGACTATTCATATCCAGCTGTTACCCAGAGTGCTGCCTCAAAGGGTCATTACCTCTTATCTCAGTCGTTTAAAATGCTAGTTGATTAAACCTCAGTTCCTAATTCAGACTTTTGGTCCTTATCCTAGTGACATAAACGGGAACTTATGTCCTCAATTGCAATGGCTTTCTATCAGAGTCCTCCCCTGGGGGATCTATGAAATCAAACACTGAGATTGGCTCCCCACCCTCAGGGAATAAATAAGTGTCCAAAGTGACAGTTTTGAAACTCTAGAGTACATTCGGTCCACAGCTTCTTTTTCAGTCCTTCAAGTACTGGATCTTTATTTTAGAGTACAAAGAAAGAAGGAGAGGTAACTGAATAGTAGTAACACCCTTATGCAGGGAGATATGAAAATACCCGACCTTAGAAACAGGCCCCTAGCTCCCTGCTCCGCAGGGGGCCTGCTTCTCCCTCTCCCACTCCCCCTGCTTGTGTTCCCTCTCTCGCTGTGTCTCTCTCTGTCAAATAAATAAATAAAATCTAAAAAAAAAAAAAAAAGCCCCTAAAAGCCAATTCTTGACACTTTGCTCAGATGTAAACCAAACCTTTGTTCTCCTTTTTCAAGCTCATAAATCTCTTAAGAAAAATATTATTTCGTAATTTCACACAGGAGTGATTTTTGAGAGTATTCAAATGCATAATTAAGTAATATTAAATACCGGAGTGATCAAGCAGGCCGTCCAGCAAGTTGAACGTTTCAATAAGTTCCACTGTAAGGAAAAAGAGACGGGGTTCCCGCCTTTCCCCGCGGATTTCCATTCCTGGGCCCTGAAAGCCCTGTACCCCATTTGTTGTGCAATCTTTTTCGAACTCCACCCACTGACTCCAGAACAAGTGGAATTCTCCCATTCAGAAGGTCTCGATTTTCCTGTATCCAGGGAGACACTGAAAACTCCTTGACGTGAGTCAAGTAAGGCAAGGGGAACGGTCCAGCCTGTCTCCCAGATTGAGAGAGACCAAAGGCCAGGGTGGGGGAGGCGCTCAAGTTTCCGCTCACCCAAAAAAAAGAAAGGAAAGGAGGGTAAATAAAGAAAGCAAGAAAGGGGAGGGAGGGCTAAATGGGAAGACCGGCTATCATGCGATGCTGCCCCCAACCCTGCGGGACCCAAGTGCACCAGCATCGTCTTCCCATCGCCGGTCCCACGTGTAGCCAGGCCAGTGGTGCCCAGAGACGAGCCCTGGGGCCCGGGAGCCGAATGGCCCCTCCAGCCCCGCGGCGTTCGCCCGCCCGCGCAGTGGCGGGGAGCGCAGGGGGGCGGGGAAAGGGGGGCGCAGTGCAACCCCGGCTCCCGCGCGGTTATCTTACTGCGCAACAGCTTCGCCCGCGCCGCCCAGGCGCACCCCGCAGCGCGCCCTGCGCACCTGCCCGGCAAGAGCAGGGCCAGTCCCTGACCCAGGCAGCCCTCCGACGGCGGCGCCCGGCGCCGGGGGCACTGGAAGCACGGAGAGCACCGGGAGCACGGAGAGCACGCCAAGGGCGGGGGCTAGGAGAAGGAACACCTGGCGCCCGAGGTTCCTCGGCGCCGGCCGCACGTGGCTGTCACACCTGGCGCGCCCCCGCCTCGCACCCCTTCCCCCTCACACCAGGCTGCGCCCCCTGCCCTCTCCCCACCTCTGCCGCGCGCCCCAGAACCCCAACCTTCGCTCCCTCCTACCCCATCGATCCCAGTCCCAAATCCTCCCCCACCTGCTCCCACTGTCGTCACCCCCGGGAAGGAAAAAGGCCGGATGTTCGTCCCGTGGCTAAAGGTAACCGGAGAGAGTGAAGATGTGTACCCCGAAAAATCTCGCCTGGGTATTCCCCCGGCCGTACAACAACGCGGACGCCTCCCAGACTGACCTTTTGCCGCGGGCTGCGTCGCCGTCCGCCCCGTCCGGCCTCAATAGCCTCTTCGGCGCCGCCGCCTCTTCCCCGCGCTGCCTCCTCTACCCGCGTCGCCATGAGGTGACGGCAGCAGCCAAACAAGCGGCCCGACAAGGGGCACGGAATCTTTCAGGGCCCCCGCGCCCCGCCCCTGAACCCCCACGGCCAATCGCCGCATGAACGGCTTCCCACGTGACCGGAGGAGGTTGGCCCCCCGAGGGGATGGAGCGGGATGTGGGTGGGGAACATTGAAGTCTGGGCTGGGCTTCTGCGGGGCCGAAGGGCGAACACAGGCCGCGCGAGTCTGCGCAGACAGGGAAAAAGAAATCTGAAGCGGACCACAAGTCCCAGGAGGCTGCGCGGCCACGGCTCACCGGCCCAGCTCAGGATTGGAGCGTAAGGCGGCGTTCTGAAACGGGGAGTGTCCCCTGGGTTGCGCGTGCAGCCTATTGGGACTTGTAGTTTTCTGGAAGCGATGTACCAGTACCGGAAGGTACTCTTAATTATCCTGAGGGAAAAGTTTAGAAATATTCCAGTGTTTGGGAGGGAGCAGGAGTGGGGACATGTTGTTGTGTTTTTGTTTCTGTTGCTCCTCTTCGGAATTGAGCCAAAATGATTAGGGATAAGGGGAAATCATGACTTTCAAGGCGGCAGAGATGTAATGGCTTTCAGAATTTCTGGCTGGGACACCTGTCCCGAGTCCTAATCATCCACCAGAGCTCTCAGCACCATTTACTTGTCCTGAGCTCCTGCGGGGTGGGGGCTGCGTCCTATTCACCTTGGCTGAACCGCCCGGTCTTCTAGCACAGCTCTCCACACTTAGTCGGCGCTTAATACATGTTGAATGTATCCTGTTTTCTCCGCTAGTCCTTTCGTTGCTGAAATTTTATTTTTTTTTATTATGTTATGTTAATCACCATACATTACATCATTAGTTTTTGATGTAGTGTTCCTCGTTACTGAAATTTTAAAACAAATTAGGTTTGCTGAATCGATTTCTTTTTTCTTGACAGGATTGGGGCCGGGGTACAGTTTTGCTCAGGAATATTCCGTTTCCATCTGATGGAACCAGATCTCTAATGACGAGCCTCTGAAAGTCACGGACCCTCATGAAATTCTGATATATTAAATAACTCATTATGAAATTTTGCGTGAATTCTTTACCATTTTTTATTAAAGTTGAATACAAGACAGTGGTAGCAGATGCTAAAAATGTAATAATATACATGAGAGTAAATTTCAATATTGTGGAAATTCCATCTATCAATTTTAATTATTTCTGTAAATTTGGGGAAAGTACCAGTATTTTATCTCATGGGCAGCACACCTCAGTCCAGCTTTGAGATTTCAAAACTAGAGCAGTAGATAATGAACCCATAGCCAGATTCTATATAAAGTTGATGGTCTCAGCCACCATGCCTCACCTTTTTTTTTTTTTTTAAAGATTTTATTCGTTTATTTGAGAGAGAGAGAATACAAGAGCGGGGAGGGTCAGAAGGAGAAGCAGACTCCTCGCTGAGCGGGGAGCCCAATGCGGGGCTTGATTCCGGGACCCTGGGATCATGACCTGAGCTGAAGGCAGCTGCCCAACCGACTGAGCCACCCAGGTGCCCCATGCTTCACCTTCTTAAAGGTAAAATTCCCAGCAAGATGCATAATAAATGTAGGGGTAATGCTTTTTCTAACCTGTTCAGGGAGCTGAGTGTCAAAATGCACAGTAGTTAAATAATGGCACAATTGAACACCATGCAATTACTAAGAATGATAAACATTGTTTTAACTTGACCTAGAAAACATACATAGCATGGTGAGCTTTAAAAGAAAAAATTCCAGGGGCACCTGCCTGGCTCAGTCGGTAGAGCATGTGTCTCTTGGTCTCTGGGTTGTGAATTCAAGTCCCATGTTGGGTGTAGAGCCTACTTTAAAAAAAAAAAAATCCATTTGGGAGGGGGTAGGGGATGGACAAAAGGGGTGAAGGAGAGTGGGAGATAAAGGCTTCCAGTCATGGAATGAATAAGTCACAGAGATAAAAGGTACAGCATAGGGACTATAGTCAATGATACTGTAATAGCCTCGTATGGTGACAGATGGGAGCTACACTTGCGGTGAGCACAGCATAACATATAGAGTTGTCGAATCACTGTGTTGTACCCCTGAAACTGATATAACATTGTGGGTCAATGATACTTCAATTAAAAAAAAGCCATTTATATAGAATTGCCCATTTGTTTATAAAGAGATACTTAGAAGGATATTAATCAAAATGTTAATAATGTGTTTCCCTGGGTGGTGAGATTTGGGAGTATTTTTACTTCATGATTTTCTGTGTTGTTTAATTATGTATGGAAAAAAGTCAGTAGTTATCTTTATTACAAAAACAAAAGAACTATGTAAGTGATGTCAAATCTTAAAAGATGAAAAATAATTGTATTTATTTTATTTATACATGGTCTTATTTCCAAAGGGATTTGGGTATATGTGTGTATGTAGGGTGAAAGATCTATATCATGCTATTCATTCATTCCTATGTATATATGGGGGGGAATGAGGAGAAAGTGAATATGAAAGAAGGATGGGAAAAATAAGATGAAGTCATGGGTGAGCTGAATCCATAAAACACATGCCTTGAGGTCTTGTACACAAGCTGGAGGTGAACCAAATTTTTATTTTGTGCTTCTTGACAGCTGAGAAAAGAGGCAAACACAATTTACAGAGTGATTCACAATACTGTAAAATAATAAAGTGGTTGCTCAAGAGAAACATAGCTATTACTGCTCCTGAGAGAAATATGAATTTTAGAGGTCCTATAACATCTTTAATGTAGGCAATGGTGGTTTTAAAATCTGTCCACAAGTTCGCTGATGCTCCTTCCTCCAAAAGGTGGAGTATGATTCCCCTCCTCTAGGGTGTGGGCCAGCCTTAGTGGTTGGCTTCTAAGGAATATAGCATAACAGAAGTGATGCACAGCTTCCAACACTGGTCAGAGAAAGAATAGCTTCTGCCTTGTCCTCTAGGTCTTGGATCATTCTCTTTTTCCTTGGGTCAGACTAACCTGATTTTTTTTATATACCCATTCTTTGTTTAGATTTTTGTCGTAAATGTCTTCAAAGAGGTCTCTGTCAAGACTTAGTCCAAAGCTCTATAAAGCACTTTGCTTATCTCTGCTGGGATCCATTGTTAGGGTTATATTTTAGGTTTGCGAGGGCTATCATTTTTTTTTATTTCGTGAGTCTTGAAAAGGCACCCCATGTTCTGTCTTCATTAATTATTCTCACATTTGCTCAAGGAATTGTCATCTGTTAAGAGCTGTGCCTGCCAGGAAGGTGAAGGTCCCAAGATAAACAGTTCCTCCTCGTTGGGTAGGGAGTATTCTCCCCAGGCTCCCTAAGGGCTCTGCACATAACCTGAATATGGGCCCATTTATTCAGATGTTTATTAAGCAGCCATGTATCTGAGGCACAAAACAGTTTTTATGAATATTAAGTTCAGTGATGTCCCAGCTCTCTGTTGTTTCACGTGCTCTGACAATCATTTTGCAGGAAATGCAAGGCACTCAAAGTAGACTCACCACAATCACAGAGAGAGGATTCTGTTGGCCTCATAACCATTATTGGGGAGCTGGAACTCTCAGAGTTCATAGCTGGACACAGGGCCATTTAGAGTTTTAGCCTATAGTATTATCCCTAAGGGAACAGGCTTCCAGCTTGCTAGGTTCTTATGCCCTGTCGATGCAAGGGTGAGAAGTCTCACATATTCTAAACAACGCATGTCTTGAGTATCATTGATTTTACCAATTCGAGCCCATTTCTCTCACCTGTCATACTAGCTAACAAACTACTAATTCCACCAATGAAAACCAATTTCTAACCTTCATTCTGCTACTTAGCAAAGCTGCTGGTTTGATTGAGCTATGGCTGACAGAACCATTTGTAGCTGTAATATGGAATATGGACTCCCTGATTAATATAGCTGACCACCCTTGGTGTGTAAAGTCCCGAGTAGGGTCATTGCCAGCCCTTAATTTAATGCAACACACACACACACACACACACACACACACACAGGCTGCTACTACTACTACACTTCTTGCTGACAGTAAATTACAGACCTCATCAAACTGTAAGGGCCAAGGGCAGGCTCCTCCAAAAGGTGCCACGTTAGTATGCAGATTATTTCAAGCTGAAAATAACCAATGCCCATAAACACTCAGGAAGAAACCTGGAACTTCCCCCTAACTACCTAAACGAATATGGAGGACCTGCTCTGAGAGCTAGCACCATAAATAACTATATTAGACTATGAACTAGGTATGGTAGACAAGAAGGAACCCAGCAAGCCTGTTTGATCAAATTCCTCTTTGTGTCTTGTTGTTTGAGCGGCCCAGCAAACATTTACTTTTTCATCTTCATGAAAGTCGCTTTCCTTCCCTTTGAAGTCCCAGACCCCTACCCTCTTCTTAGTTCAGGAGGTCCTTTATACTTCATTTTGCCTGTCTTTGGACTCTCATGTCTGTGTGGATCCCTCATATATACATAATTAAATTTTATTTTCTCCCGTTAATCTGTCCTTTGTCAATTTGATTCTCAGACTAGCTAGAAGAATGTTGAAGGATAGAGGAAAATTTTTCTTCCCCAACCATACCTTATAATATGTTCAAAGGTATTGACAAATCTAAAGAAGCAGTGTTTCTATTAGAAGAGCAGAAACCTAGAAAAGGGAGAGTCAGGGAAACCTGGCTGACAAAGCCATCCATGCAATGTCTGGGGGAGAGAGAATTTTGTTCCAAAAAAGAGAACTTCAAAAATAATGGCCCTATTCACAAGCCTAATTCCTAGTGTAGGGATGGAGGCCCCATCATCCTAATGCCTTTGAGCAGGGAAAATTGTTTTCTTACCAAACAATCTTACCATTATAATCTGGCTCCTAATGTGAATCTGACTAGAGAGAGAGAGAATGTAGATATGTGTACCTTTCCATCCAGTGAACTACTTCCATTGCTTATTGTTAATAAAGGGACATTTTGACTTTGTAAATCAGGCCCAAGGGCTGTTCTGGAGAGAACATATCCTGAGGGTCCCTCCAGGAAGCCCCTCTGTGCCCAGAGTATCTTAGGTGTACCATGT